GTATATGTTTTGCACTACGCAAAATTACTGTCATTTTAAATGTAAAGTTTATAATTTTTCTTTGTTTTTGTTTTGGAAAGTCAAGGTATTTGATACTAACAACGCCTAAAGATTACATCTGTATTCAGTCCATAAAATCCATGTTAATGTTTACTTTGAACTGCTGCAGACCTCATTGCTTAATGATCTGCCTAATTTATGGCCATTTTTTCTTTCCCAGCTATGCATTTTAGACAAAATATAGTCATTCTTTTTCAAACTACTTCCTTTATTGTTATCTCAATAAATCTGTTTTTTCCACTTTAGGAAGGAAGGAAGGAAGGAAGGAAGGAAGGAAGGAAGGAAGGAAGGAAGGAAGGAAGGAAGGAAGGTTGATATGGAGGAAAAAGTGTTAGGGAAATATTTTTTTCAATACTCATTTCTTCCTGGGCCTTGCAGATGTTAAAAATTCCATGGAATGCAGGTTCCTCTATTTCATATCAAGTAATACATAAGCCTGGCATTCATGTCATTAACAAAAACAGGCCTTATTCTTAGAAGACCAGTGTTGGTTTATTTTTTGACTGAAGCAATTTAGATAGTCTTTTGCATGCCTTGCTCCAACATTGTAAAAATTCTTGCTCCATCTTAAAAAAATAGTTACAATTTCATCCATTCTATCCCTCATATTGTTGTTATATTTTTGGTTCTTCCCATTGCTGCTACATTCACTTTCTTCCTGAGGCCTAATTCCTAAAACAATCTAAAACGAGAAAACCTCAAGGGGAATTTTCCTTCTCTGATTTTTGTCTTTTTGTCACTTACGGTATTTGAAGAAGGCAATTGTAGCGTGAGATAGGTTATTCTGAAAGATTAGCAATGGAATCTACTAGGTGATGGATCTCCAAAAATCCATTAATGCCAAACCTCAATATTGCAACCAAGAGGTCCCTATACCTAGATTCTACTCTATCACAATCTTCTCAAATAGACTGATGTGAAACCAAGAAACCAAGGTTTGTAACATGAAGACAATTATTTAAATTTTCTTACTTTCCACAAGCACACTTAGCAACCTCTTTTGAGCTTTAAGACTTGTTATTTCTCTTTCTACTTGAAAGAGGCATTACAAGTAATTTTTTATTTAGTGACTGTTCGGAGTTATGACTGACCCAAAAAAAAGGACTTATGACCCTGACTTGAACTTCTAACAGCAGCATCTCCTGGGTCACATGATCAAACTTTGGGTACTCAGTAATCAGTTACTCAGCAATTTATATTTAAAATTCATCAGTGTTATTGAAATCCTCAAGTGGTGAACAGCCTTGTATGTATATATAGCAATCTGATGAGCATAATGAATATATACATAAATATATGTAAATATTATGTTATTTTAGCAATGTTGTTTTAATTATTCATTGAGAGTTGTCTAAAGATTGATATCAGATGAGCAGCTATATAAATGCTTTAAATAAAATAAATAAAAATGTCAAGAAAATCATGGGGATATCCTTTGTGTGGCATACTAGTAACCATTGTCCCAAAAATGACAGAGGTGGAAGAAAATAGTCGCAGGACAAAACTTAAGACTGATCATATTTAACTGAAATTTCAGTTTAGTTATTAACAAAGAATTACATATTATTCATATGATCATTCCCCATACATCTAATCATTGTTTATCTTCTGCCACATTAAAAATAACAGTTTTAATGAGAGATCGAAAGACAGACAGACAGATGACACACACATGCGCGCACGTGCGCGCGCGCACACACACACACGTATACATTGCCTTAAGGTTGCCACTCTCTCCCCTAAGGCCAAAGTTCAGTTTTCTAATTTTGTTCCTCACATGGCTGTAGGATACTAAACAATGATAATGGCACACCAGACAGCAGTGTCTGGAGGTAGTCTGTTTCACTGTTTTGTTTCTAATCCATCAAGCACTCAAAAAGACATCCTCTTTAAAATATCCTCTCTTGCTGACATGGCTAAATTGACTGCTTATTGCTGACTGGAAGCCTTTATACTATAGACTTTTTGCATGGAATAGGGAAAAAAATGAACTTGATATCTATGTTTCTGATGATTAGACAGCATAGATTATAGAAAGGAGAGAGTTATAGCTACAGACTAAGAGCTAATTTTATAACTGTATTTATAACTGCTATAAAAAAAAGATCAGAAACAATTTCTTTGTTTTGTTCTTCTTTCTTTTCCTTTATTTTCCTCCACACTTTTTTTGCATTTTTTGCATTTTTAGTTTTCCTGTTGATTTCTTTCTTTTTCTTTACTTTTTCTTAGCTTGTATTAGTTTTTTTCCTTCTTTCTAAAAATATAATATTCCCTTCTCAATGTGTGTGTGTGTGTGTGTGTGTGTGCATGCGTGCGTGTGTTTGTGTGTGTCAATATAACAAAAACAAGAAAATCTCTTCAAGAAGATTTCTTTTGGGCTTAAATATTTATAAAAATTATGGTTGCTATTATTCATAACTTCTAAAAGATAAACATGGACAGTGTCTTTGGCACTGAAGGCTATTTTGGAAATATGTCAAGAGCACAAAGGCTCTGGTTAACTTGCATGTAAAATCAGAAATAACAAACATCATTTAGATCACACACCGTGAACATGGCTAAAGATTCCACATAATGAACATGGCTGGAGACACTATTATATCTATTACACATTTAAGAACATTGTAATGAATACAAGAAAAAGTGTATCAGATCTTGAGAACTGACTACCTCAGTTTTGGTGTTTTTAATCACTGGAATCTATGTTGAATCTAGACAATACGGGAGAACTGAACATCAGTTTAGAGATGCTCAGCTATCCTTGAAGGGATTCCTCTGAAGGAGTAGGAAATTGGAAATTTTCTTATCTTTTGGAGAGAGAAGATGTTTTTGACCAGATTTCTATGTTTTTCCAAACATATTAATGTTAACATATTAACTCATTCAATAACATGATAAAGCACAAACAGTATTCTGAACACAAAGGCTATATTAATCAAATGAAAGAATGGGACATTCTGAAACATAGCAGAATGAGTTATATTTCATTAATTTCTTTTAATTTTAATTCATCTTAAGTTTAAATCTAATTGATCTAATTGTTGTCATGGCCCTTTTCTACATTTTATGATAAGAACTCCAGTATGCTACTTAGAAACATGCACACTGAAGGCTATTTCCAAAATAGCCTTCAGTGCCAAAGACACTGTCCATGTTTATCTTTTAGAAGTTATGAATAATAGCTTATACATATACATATACATACATATCTTATACATATAAGATCAAGAAAATTTCCTCCCCATCCAGAAAATTAACAAAAAACAAGAGGAAATAATAAACCTTATACCTTAGGAGTGCACAATCATAACTATAGCTGAAGATATTGCAGATCTCAGCATTTAATCTATCCAAATGAAATTTAGGCTGGCGAATAAATCTATCAGGAAAATAGCCAAATAGAGTTCTTCACTTCTTAATAAGAATGTAATTCATGTAACATAATAGCTACATGCTTCCATGAGTGAGGGGTTTTTTATTTATTTAGTCAACAGCTGCCCAACTAACAGAGGCTTTACTTAACCTTTTCCACAAAGTAGGAACGTTAAATGCATAAACGATAGCCACAATGGTTAATATTATCCTCTCCTGTTTTATGTTCCTTTTTAATAGTTATTTTTAATTGTGATTGTGTTCTTTGTGTATTTATTGTTTTTTAATCATGTTGTACATTACTCATATCACTTTCCTGTGAGATGGGCAGGTACAGTATTATGAGAATAAATAAATTATTTAAACTTTATTTCTTTTTTAGTATCATATATTTTAGAATAACTAAGACTATTTGGTAATCAAGCCCATGGAAATATATTCATTCCATTTTTTTTAGCAATTGTTATTGTAGTCCAAAATCCATTTGATGATAGGTGAGGCCTTTTCTGTGATATTCATCAAGACAGGCCATACAGATAATGAGGCAAAGTCTTGCTCATCTCCACAGCCATGCTCCTTCAGCTGGGGGAATGGTGAAACAACAGAGGTGCTTCATAAAATTTGGCCTCATGCACTCATACATGAACAGCTGCTGTGTTTTCAATGCAGAGATACCCCTTCAAATCCACAACAAACATGGTGTTTGAAAGCCAAGATCTCCCATGTTACTGCTGATAGACTAATGTGACTTTCTGCTGGCAGTCCTGAATCAGATATAATCAGCATTTGTTTGTACACTTTCAAGGCTCTAAATTGGAACCAAACCATATACAATTATAATAATTGTTGACAGGATTTAGAAGATATTTGTTCAAATTCTCTTGCAGAAAAGCTAAGCATTTCCTTCTTCCATGCTATTCAGTGACAAAGATAGAGAACCCATGGCCCACTAGCTGCATAGAGCCCCCAGTTCTGCTTTCTGCTTGCCCTGGAATCCCCCACAATCATATTGTCAAAACACAATAGCAAATCACCAAATTGCAACAGTACTATATTGTTTTTCTCTGCTTTATGGGGCAAAAAACAGAGACAAAATAGTTAATATAATAGATCCAAGTTCTAGTGCTTTTATCCAGTAACATTGTAGTGACATACCACATAGTCCTGAAATCCTCAGCTGCATAAAAAACAAGTGTGATTTAAGTTGGACAAATAGACGCTCTACTGTCAGTGACCTAATCCATTTTCCCCTAGCAGCACTAGTTTTTTGCAATATGTCAGTATGAAACTTTTCCAAATAAAGATAAACTTGATTTATTGGGCTACCAATTTCATGATTTATCTATCTAATTTAATTTTAGTCCACTGAAAGCTGCCCTTTTAAGCTACCCATCTCATAGACTTACTTCCTCATTTCTATTCTAAAAATCCACTGAAATAACTAAACCAAATTTTTACAGTAACACATTTAATTGTTAAATGTACAACCATTACTCCAGCCCATGTATATGCTACAGATCTTTAACAAAGCCATAGTTTCTAAAAAAAAAAAAAAAAACAGTCCTTACCGTTTTATTGCTTCTTCTTGTTTCCGGCGCTTTTCATTCTTTTCTTTCAAATAAGCCAGGTTGGTTTCATTTCTCATGCGATCATTCTCCCGAGCAATGTCAGAAGCATTCTGTATAACCAAACCATCATAGGCCTTCATGCCCATATCTTCAATGTACTGGAGAAAAGTGCCCAAAGTGACCTCCTCTTGATTAGAATTCATCATCTTGTGGGAAATACTTCCTGTGGATTGACAAAAGGAAAAATGTTCATACACATGTATATTATTTCACTGGTTTTCTGCCCATTCTTAAATCAATGAACAATTCAAAATTTGTCAGGATTATCAAATGTAATTTTATTTTAGGCTGAAAACAGTTTGAGTAAGTGTTGGATTTTGTATTTTAAAAAATGAGGAATAACCATTCCATGCTTCTTTGTGTCACTGACCTAATAGAATTTAAAACTTTCTAACTTATTTTTGACCATGCTCCAATTTGGGCTGCTATTAGCTCTGTGAGCTCTGTTTTAAATGAATTGCATCAAATAAAAGCTTTATTGCTATATACCGAATTAGCTTTTTTCCTTCTGGTTTATTCTCTCCCACTTTGCTTGATGGAAAATGCTGGAAATTTCAGAAGTTTGTTCATTGGCTACTGACTTTCTTTTTTATGATCAAACACAAGTGATTTAATTTAGAATTTATATAAGGTGTAAATTTACAACAAGCATTTTCTAATGTTATGACCTGTATCATATAAACACACATACACAGAGATAAATTTCATGGTTTTATTTATTGTTCTATTTATGTATTTATCATATTTCTACCCTGTCCATCTCACCTAAGTGATATATGGATTAATATATGAAGCTTGGCTGTCATCCCAAGGAAGTATTTTCTCCAAATCCATATGTTCCTTTGGTTAAGTTAAATTCCATGCATCTGATTGAAGTTGATTGTGGTCCATGAAAGCTTTGGCAATAGTAGAAACATTTCTAAAGTGCTACCTGATTGGTTTGGGGTTTATTTACTCATTTTTATTTAGAAAAAAAGTTTTAAAAGGAACCCTTAAGGGAATGTATTGATAATGCCCTCATATAAACAGTATTACAGTTCTAATTACATTCAGCCATTATAATCTTATTTAATTTTAAATGCCTGGAGAACACCTCAGTATGAGTTCATTTCTTAGTTTTGACAACAACCAACAATATTGAGGCCTACATGCTTAGTAGGGAAGCAAATATGAAGTTAGAAAGATTGTTTGCCTTTTCACCAATTCTCATGCTGCTGAAGATCAACAAATTATATTCAAAAATATTTCAGAATTTGCAATGGCAAAGATAGAACTGAATCAAAGTTTATGCTACATGAGTAAAAGGCAAATCTTATAATAGTTCCATCCATGCAAAAAAAATTTAAAAGCCCACAATTTCCCCCCTTATGTATTCTCAATCATTTGGTGAAAGAGAAATTTGTTTTTGAACTGCCTGTTGAAGTAGATAATTTCAGTGAAATTCTAACAGGTGGAATACGGTGTAGTTGTCCTTATGAGATAAACCATAGGATGGATGAATATGCTGTATTTCATTCTAAATCATCTCATCACCAATTTGTGGCCTTGCTAGGCTTGTCAGGGTTCAGTTAAGTCCCAAGGCAGTTATGTCTTTGGCTTTTTCAAATTGAAAGGCTTTTTCATTGGCTTTTTCAGATTGAAAGGTTTGGGCAGCAAAAAAAGCCTTAAAGATATGAAAGCCCAAGTAACAGAAAGCAATGGCACCATCTGCACTGCCTGACAATTCCAACATTAAAATAACCTGAAAAACACGACAAAAGAAATATCAAAGAAATGTTCAGGTATACTGACCATAAAGTAAGAAAACTTTGAAATAATTTAAATTCAAGCATGTTAATTTAAATTTAATGGGAACAAAATAAACACCCAATGGGAACAAAATAAACTATAAATTAAGAAGGGTCATTTACTCTAGGCCTAAGAAAGGTCATACATTGGCAACCTTGTTTGTTTTTAATTTCTGCATTAATGATGTGACTCTTTGCTTTAATGATTCTGGATTTCATATACTTAAGATTGCAGATCTAAATTATCATTGATATGAATATGCAATACTTTAGTTTCAAAGAAAATTTTGCTTTGGAGTACATGGAGTATACCTGAAATCTGTTCCAGAGGAGCTGGATCTTTTTCCATACATTCCAAAGCACTTTTTTTACCATTAAAGACTAATATTTCTATTGTAGACTAGTCACTTTCCTTAACTAACATTTTCGTGAAAGTGAGGTGCTCGAATAGCTACACATATGAAGTAAGCCAAAGAAATCTGGGGGGAAAAATTGCTACTTTCACAATTTGAGAAAATGTGCTTTGTACATGTTACTGCTTCAAAAAATCTGTTCTGAATGATTTACACAAACTGTAAATTATACTTTTACTAAAAACAATAGGGAAAAAAAGGTGAAAGGAAGAATGGGAAAAGACTACAGGTATAGAATATTGGATGATGTGTTTGAATCCTAAAGAGACAGCAGCAATTTTACAATGGAAACACAAAACAATGTTGTGTTGTTATTGTTCTTCCATACAATCATACGTGATTCTCAGACATTGCCTGTACAGATCCCTGCAGTTTTCTTGACAAGGTTTTTCAGGAGTGGTTTCCATGGCCTCCTTCTTAGGACTGAATGAAAGTGGATTGTCTCAAGGTTACCCAGCTGGTTCTGTGCCTAAGATCAGACTCCTTAACCTTAAGGCTTAACCACTACATCAAACTGCTGTAGTTTGTACTGTACAAATGTTGTACGTAGCAGTCTAAATCCAAATGTAATTTGCAATACGCATAAAAGAAAGCCATTTTTTCTTCAACATCAATAAAGCTAACATAATGTGGCACTAAATAATACACAATCTTAATACTGAACTCAGTTTTTCCAAGTTTTGATATTGTCTCAGTCATTCTTACATTGTTTAAGGTAAATCAGTATTATAAACACCTTTACATTAAAAATACTAAACTGAACTTGAAGTGAATGGGAACCCCAAGCTAAATCATGTAATCACTTTGCTATATTATAATCCTTTATATCTAGGAAATATTACTGTATTTAGCCTTTAATCATTCGATGTCAAGATTTCATTGCCTGTACATTGCAGATTTGTCACTCAGCTGAGCTGATTGTATGAATAATATTTGACTTTATTAACATTTAAAGTAGGTTATTTATTATTATTGTACTTAGCATCTACACTGTTTTAAATTTATTGTATACAAAGGAAATATACAATACACTGTGAATTCATATTTTCTCTGAAAATAAGTCTTTTAAGGTTCCAGCCAGTCTTTACCTACAAGCAGGGCATTTCTCACTTTTCCTCACAAAATTTCTTATCTCCTAAACTGCATTTCATGACTGTTAAATATGTTCAATCTTGGGATTTTTTAAGAAAATGTCTGTAATTTAGGATTACAGGAAACTTTTTCTCTTCATTGGGGCAGAACATAGGATTGCCCTGTCTTTTCTAATTTCTTGATTAATCCAATTTTCCTACAAATCAAATTGTACTCACCATCTATGCATGCTATTGGATGGATTAATGGTGACCCAGTTATCAATTCAATACTGAATACCAACAATTTAATATCAACGATGTATACAAGGTTGTCATTTGATGACTACAGAAAATATTCAGCTACAAGACAGAAGTTTATGTATGGAGCTCACAGTTTCCTTTAAAACACAGCATGGTTTAAAATTTTTACTACTTTTCCTTCATCTCTTCCTTACAGTCATGATGGAGTGCTGTGAAAGGAGGGAATGCCTTAAAATCATGTGCAAAAGGTTTTCTGCAAAGAAGAAATGAAGTTCTCAGAAGGTGTCTTTTTACCTTTCATTTTCCCTATTGGTTTATTCAGCTTACACAGCAAGGTCATTGCATGATACATTCCCCCCCCCCTTTTTTTTTTTGGCCTGTGAATACTCACATGACTAATTCCTGTAGGATAACAATGCATGTGAAATTTCAGTAAATGAAAATAAATAATTGATTGGGTTTTTCAATCAAGTCTCTGATTTCCTGAAAAGTGATGACTTAATATAATAAAAAAAAAACCTGAAGAACTCAGATGCTAAAATCACTCAGTAAAAAGATGAAGGGAAAACCCATGAATTATGTCAGACTAATTAAAAACAATAATGTTCCAGTGCATCTAAGGCTAATATGATGAAGAAGAACATATATGTACAAGTATGTGCATTATTCCTGACCTCATTTAGCAGCTCTGGTTGTCAGCTTTCCACAATTTAGTAGTTTCTGGATGAATTCCTAATTAATTTCCAATAATTTCTTCCTTAGTAATTCTGTGAATTTACAATTCCAATTTAGAGATTGATAAATTGGAGATACTAATCATAATATTTATAGAATAGGGAATAGTGCCAAGGGGTGGAGTGTAATTATCTGAAAAGATTATGATAGATATAAACAAACAGATTAGGGACTAGTGTGTGACCCATCTCTTCTTTGTGTAGCCTTTCCCTTGTTGAAGGAAATTCTTCATAAACAAAAGGAAGTAAACTTACATTTCTCCTCACTATTAACAGCATTGTGGGGAAAGAGGGATCTTCAAGATGCTATAGAGAAAAAAATATACTGAACATCCTGTATTTTGTCTTGTAATACCTCTGGTATAACTGATGTACAAGTCAAAGTCATCTAATAAGTTTCATGGCTCAGTTAGGAACTGAACCTGAATCTTCCCCAGTATTAATTCAGCATTATAATCTCTACATCCAATTGTCTCTCATGTAAATTTTGCAGAATGCTGCTCATTTGTTAAAAGAGTTCTCTGCATGACTCCTAGCCATTTTCAGCACACTGATGAAAATCCAATCCTCACTTGGAGTTTTTTTCAGATTTGCATGGAAAATTTCCTAGTCATCCTAAGAAGCCTCTTGACCCATATGGTTAGCCACATGAAGTTCCTTGTGTAGAGTTTCAAGTGATTACTGTGATGCAATTTGCATTATGGTTTGAGCTGTGTTGTGCTGGAGGGAAAACAAAATATGGACAAAGGGATAGGACAGGTTGTTAAAAGATAACCTATTCCGGAAATGAGAAATTAATTCCCTATCACTTACATCCCTGTCTTGAATTACAATTGTTGTATTTTTTTTTTCAGCTAAATGGAAGAATGTAAAAGGAATACGTTTTCAAGCTTACACAAGTCAGCATGCAGATTCCCCTGTATCCTCTCTTTGATATGTTCATTTCTCAGCACATGTAAATTCTAATGGAACAATGACATCATCAAATAGCAGATACATTCCATTCCAGTTGTAGCAGTTGGATTCTCTTTGAAAGATTTAAATGCTTACAAGACATTTAAGTGCAATACAGACAGACCACATTCCGTTTATACCAAACTGCTGACTGCAGCACCACTATAGATGTATTGCACTCTGGATTCTCCTCTCTTTCAGAGTTGCTGCCTTTTATGCAATGGCTTTTAGAAGACATATAATTTCTCTGATAGGCACATTGTCAATGAAATTCTCATATTGTGTCTGGCTCCTTCTTCATTTATTTTTAAGTGGACCTAATTTTTCAAAGGAAATGACTTCTGATTTCATATGGTAGACATGCTGGCAAATATTATCTAAGTGTTTTATGTAGTGCTAAAATTACTGATAATGGAAAAAATAGAACAAAGTCTAAACTTTTCTGCAAAGTCTTAAGTTCAACCTACCTAGAAACTTTCTATGCACAGTTGCATTAATTTATTATATATATATATATATGTATGTGTACATGTAAGAGCTTGTGCACTGGTAAGTGAATGGGTATGCTTATATGGTTGTGTTTGCATATGTTCATTTACATATATGTGTATTTTTTCCCAGGGAATGAAGAAAAGCTCCTTTTACACTTGAAAGAAGCCACTTGTGTGAAAGTATTAGGAATAAAGAACTTTACAAACTGCATATATTAAGGATGGGCATAATTTTCACAATAGATTCTCCTTCCTGCAGGCCATAGTCCACAAGGCTTGAAGAATGTAGATCACTGATACTGTTGTTATAGTAGTTTACTTGTCAGTGGTAAGGCATTTATGCCATGATGCCTTTTTCATATGTGTCTTAATCCCAAATGCAATTTCCTAACAGGCAAATAACATAGAGCTAGAGTCTCAACAGCCAGAAACACCCACAACTGGCAAATTAAGCTTATCTATTGATAACTAGCGCTGCATGGTTAGGTTCGAAGAGAAATGTATCATATTTACTTAAGTATATGTCGTTATTTTCTTAGAAGGGTATGTAGAGAAGAGAACAAGGTAAAGTGAAGATATTTTCTCTAAGAGAAAGTAATTTAAAATGTGACATAGTAATGGTATGCTTTATATAAGAAATAATTAATATAGATATAAAAGATATTTGCAATATGTGTTTCAGAAAAATAGGAAAAACATTTTAATAATTTAGCATGGCTTTTACAAATAAACACTCCACCCACCAAATTTTCTTATAAGACAGTCTAATGCACAGAAAAAGAAGGAAAAAAATCCCAATACATTACATTTTAGTTTAGCTGCTGTTTAATTAATATTTTTAAAACACAGAAAGTTTTTCATTAGATACTTCTAGACTGTAAATAAATCAATTTTTGCTGATATACATCTTTTACAGGCATTTCATTTCATTAGCATGCTTGGATTTTGTTTTAAATAAATGGATGGATAGATGGATAGATGGATAGATGTATGGATGAATAACATATGTGCATGCATATATGCATACGTATATATACATACCAAGATTAAAGTCCTTGGGGGACTGCTAAGTGCAATAATTAAAGGTGACTTTTATCTGTAAAAGCCCTTTCCTATGATTTAGCTCAGTGCAGAGTGAAGGGATATTTCAGCACCATTAAAAAAAACAAAAACAGATTTTGCAGACTGGCTCAGTTTTTCTTCAGTTAAAGTGCTTGCGATCTCCTTGGCAAAGATATCCAAATTGTAGCATTCTGCATCTCCAGAAGTCAGTATGTTTAATTCAAAATACAGGTCTTCTCCATACAGGATTTTAAAAAGGCTTTTAAAGTTTGACTTTCAAAAATACAGTATTGGGAAGAGAGAGGATCTGGCATCTTAAATCCACCTTGAAAGAACAGACAGTTAAAGTATCAGGGGGCACCAGTGGTACCCTGCTTTGAAGTCCAAAAGAAATGAAATGGGAGGGTTTTTTGCCCACCACACAGAAGATTACAGCACCAGCATATGTGATGATAGAGAGGGGGTTAAGGTGCCTCATTGGAGTGGATGCTGTGGAGACCAAGAGAAAGAAAAAGCATGGATAGAAAGCATTGTATCCAAATGGCTCCGTGCAGTTGGAAAAGCAGTCCTTGTTGCCATCTAAACACGGAAGGTTGTAAAACAGTCTTTCTTGCGTTCTTCCCCTCTGCCCCCCCCCCCGCCTTCTCGCTGTCTCTCTCTCTCTCCCTTTCTGTTGATGCTGTTGTTGATTAATCAGGGATTCTCAAACAAAGAGAAAGCCTACCTTCGGCTTTGAGCAGTAATCTGAGGCTTCACTTTTCCTGCAATCCGTTTGCATTCAGTAGCCAAGCAGCCAGCATTCTAGCACCTTGGACAGTTCCCTTTTTGCTTTCCTTAGGCCCGTTGGGGGGAAAAAAATTGAGGCAGGGGAAATAGTGAAGAAATGGCAAGAGACTGGAAAGCAGCAGCCTTCGATTCCAGCTTGCAGTCCCAAGGGGCGCAGCTGCTCATTAAAAGCTCCTATATAGACAACAGATTCTCTCTCTTTTCTCTTGGCTACACAGAAGTCTGACCAGCAAAATAATCCAGTATGGGTGTGGGTGTGGGTGTGTGGAATCGGAACAAATCCACCCTCTTTAGGTAGGACAAAATATGAAGCAAGACTGTTCCATTCTTATCCCCCACTCCCCCCAAAACATCCCTCCACGGAGAATGGACAAGTTAACCTTTAGTCCTGGAAAGAGCAGCCACTTAGAGAGAACATTTAAGTCTCGGCTTGAGATCACATATTGATGTATCGTTTGCACTCACCCTCGTTGTAAAAGCCATGCAAAGCTCACAATTACTGCTGACGCAGATTAGGCTGCTGCTTGGGGAATGGTAGGAGGAGCTTTTTAACCTCATCAAAACAACTTCCCACCACCTGCTCCCACTGCATGAAAACATATCTCCCCTACTTGGAATGAGTAACCATGTAATCATATGATTTGTAAGGCATTTGAGACTAGTGCAAGACTTCCTGTAGGTTAGTGGATATGAAGCAAATGAAGCTGTGATATATATGATGTACCACAATATTTTATAACACCACTTTACTTTAACTATTAAAAGATGAAATAGTTTTAGACCAGTATCAAAAGAAAAAATATATATCTTTACTATAGCAGACAAAATTTTAAAATACCTTTAATCAACAATTAACTAAATAAAATAGATATTTTGAGACAAATGTATATTTCATAATGAACATGAATTCACTGATCAATTAAAATCTATGTTGTCTAACTAGCTTTTTCTCAACTTTTGTCACCTTCTAGATGGGTACTTAAGTATAACTCCCAGAATTCTCAGTCATCATGGTTATAGCCATAGTGACTGGTAGTTCCCACACATGTTGTGGGTAGCATTAGGTTAGAAAAGAGAAGTCTGTGTGGAAGATAGGATTCATGTCAATGAGGAGCTTCATGCTGCAGAAACAGCACACTTTGCTTTCTTGAGCACTGGCTTCTGCTTGATACGGGGCTTAGGTCAACCAGTTTGATTTTTATGTTTGCATTTTTTAAAAAAAATCTGATGTTAGCCACTGAAAGTCACCACAGTGACATGTGTGGCCATATAAATCAAACAAATAAATAAGAAGTACTAGTAGACTTTTCTTAGCTGGAAACTGTCTTTGGTTAATGTGCTACTTCTGCCTAGGAACCATTTCCTCCAACAAATTTAAAAAACCATGTAATATATGCTACAACTAAAATGGGGGGAGCTGTCATGATGCTTTATGAAACTGCTTCAAAACATGATGTCCATGAATCTTCCTCAGAGTGAAGCAACTATTTGAAGATATGTACTGTCTAGTTTGATAATGACTGGCTTTGGCCTCCATGGTTTCCCTCAGGAATCTTTCCTAGCTGTAGGACCAGATCAATGCAAAGCATGTATTCTACATTGAGCATCAGCTCCTTTTTATTGGAAATATATGGTCTTAACATCCATTTATTTATAAAAAGATTTTGCATATGTGTGCATGTTCACATATGTGGTGTGTGGCAGGAGTAACTCTGCTAGACCTACTGAAACAAAAATATGTTATGTTTATTATTTTGCTTTGCTTTTGGAATCTGTCTCCTATTTATAGTTCACATACTGACCAAATTATACAGTTTAGTGAAAACAAAAATGATACTCAGATGATAAATTCAGAAAATACATAACAATGGAGATGGTTTGAATGAGGATTATTATAGAATAAGATAGAAGGGGAAAAACCTGTTACCATGTGAAAATGGTACTCCCACAATCTTTAGTCTGTAAGTACAGCATATATGTATTGAAATTCTTATATCTTTCAGTTTCTTGTATTTGCTTTGATAAGTTGATACAGATATAACAGTATCAAGGCACAAACTGTATTATGATAGATTTTATTGTCCATGTTTAACTGCATTCCACTAAATACAATTAGGATAGAGCCAAAGCTTTCAGAAGAGTATAATTCTTCAGTCTCTAATTTAGATGGCCAGTAGGGTTCAATATGGGGTTGAATTATGAATGTATACAATATTGTAAATCTGACCAAATCATCCTGATTTCTTATTCACGTAATATGTTCATCCAATCTAAATTATATATTATACAATGAGGAAGAATCAATCACCTCAGCAACAATTTTGATATGCCCATAGGTTAGCCAAAAATATATATTTATCCTCCACATATATACTCCAGATTTCTTATTTTCCCACATTTTTCTCAAAGAAAGGAGCAAGCAACTTGAATCTTGACCAGAGATGGATCCTAAATTTATTTACCTGGAACCTCAGCCATTGTTTTGAAATTGATGGCATAGTTTCTCACTTTGTACATGAACACAGAGACACACACACGCACAATGTGCATGCTACCCAATTCCAAAATTGCTCTGGGAATCCACAAAAAATAGGCTTAATGTTGTTTTTAAAAACTGTAACTTTTCTGATATATTTGCCCTAAAAATGTTAGCCAAATACAAGACCCCTCTTCCATCATTTGCATTTCATAATCTTGTCTTTTCCACAAAGCTAAAAATTATCTACCAGTGGAACAGTATTCAAAATGTCAAATTAAATAACAGTTATATTTAACTGCTATATTAAATTTTCTTTAAAAATATCATTGTTATATATTTCTTTAGCTGCAGTAAAGTATGAATCACTTAAAATTTGCTCCATGTTTAAAAAACTAAAAGCTTTTGACACAACTGAAATAATATTTTTAAATGCTATATTGAAAGAAACTTCCCAATCTTTCTAAATGCTCCAACACTGGAAGTTTTTAAGAAGAGACTGGACAGCCATTTGTCTGAAATGGTGTAAGGTTTCCTGCCTGAGCAGGGGGTTGGACTAGATGACCTCCAAGGTCCCTTCCAACTTTACTACTATTATTGCTATTATTATCATGGATGCATTATTTCTACCTCTGAAATTAATGGGGTATTCCAAATGCTCTGGATCACCACTGGCCTAGATCATGACTTGGAGTGTCACACATTCAACAGCATTAGGTATTTTTTGGAATTATTTGAAAAGAATAATCTTGGCCCAAGCTTTACTGTAGCAAGTTGTGAATGGTGGATACGATGGAAAGTTGTGAACTGAATTTTGTTGAATAAGCAGCCATTGGTAATAAATTGATATGCTAGCAGTAAAGTGTGAGTAATGTTGTGGATTTGACAGAAATGTTATAAATACTGCATTACATATAGGACAAAGTTGTGATCTCTTGACTTGCGTAGCCAATAAATGGGCGTACCTCTGGTAAAGGCAGTTGTTTCACCAGGAGCAATTACATATGTGTTTAGTTTAGAATGTTGTAAATGACATATATAATGGCAGTAATGGAATACATTTGTACAAAAATGTAACAGTGGTGGAGAACACAATGGAAAACCATTGCACTATATTTTCAGAGGAAATATCAGTGAGCATTGATGGTTACCAACTGCTAGTAGGACATGATACTAACGAGGATCCTTCTCCAGCACCATTTAAGTTTCAAGCGCTAGAAATGTGTGAAAGGTAATATAAAAATAACCAAGCCATTCTTCCTTTATATCATAGTTCAGCAACCTACAGTACAGCTCATGGCCCTGATATAGCCTATCACCTGAAATTACCTAGCATGAACTCTCAAAAAGAAATATATCCACCTTGCCTGCAATGGTCCTAAAAAGAAAAAAATAGGTTTTGATTCTATTCTAGGCCTGTTGTAAAAATAGATTATTTTAATAAATTGTAATCACACAAGCCCATGTAAAAACATAGATAAATGTTTATAGTAAATCTTCAGTTACTGAGGTCTCTTCCTCCTCCATCCATAAGCATTTCTTTCCTCAACCTCAAGAGGAGCCCCAAAACTCTGCTGAACATGCTCTCAGTTTCCCTTCATGCCATGTCTCCTTTTATATCCATAGAAAAAAATTACATTTTCAGTTACTATTTGATTCAATGCAGTTTAGATTTTACATTTAAATTGTACATTTTACAATTTACATTTAGAGTTTTTTTCATGAAAATGTACATTTCATGTATTTTAAAATTAATTAATATTTAACAAATATTTTGAATGACAGATTAAATGCACAAAAATTCAGAAAAGCATAGATTTCAAAATACAATTGAGTTTTTAATCTATGTATTACTTCTAAATACAAGTTCATCTTCAAAATCAAACTAAACATAAATTCCTTGGTAACCAATTCTCAGAAAATCCAACTTTCTATTGAATCAGGTGATCACCCTATAAAGCAATTATAAAGTAACATTACTACTGGTCAAACATATTTCCTTAAATATTAGCTACCATTCCATTTTATACATAGCTTTTAAAATAGCCAATGTACATGTAGAATAATGTTTGACTAAAAATACTGTACAAGTGTTTTTATTCTAACAGGGATATTTGCTTCTTATTCTTTTCTACTAAATTACAAATGATGCTAGCAGATTCTGCTAGACAATGCAAAAATATTTCACCCGTATTTACCATTTTATGTTTTCAGGAAATGTTGTTTGGTTGCTTATTTAAAATAGATTAGATTACAGAATTTTGGCAGCTTCCCAAGTTCTGTAATTATTGAATGGAATATTCCAAATGAAAATGTTCTGATTTAATTAAGCACATTTTTAAACTACCCACATTTTGTAGAAGCAGTGGTTCTCCATAAAATGGTAAAGTGCAACCCTACATAATAATAATACTGTTTCATAAAGTTAACTTTTAGCCAAAGTGGCATCCCTAATTCTTTAGGTGCATTTTATTTGGAAATAAACCCACTTATTTCAAGGGAAACTGCTTTCACATATGTAATGTTTAAAGTTACAATTCTATGCTATAACCCTATACAAGATGAGTTCCTACAGCAGAACTCTATACAACATGGGGTTTGTAGCTTCCCTTCCAATGGTTAATTGGATTTTCAGTGCTCCCCACTGGAAGGGGTCTACAAATACAAATCACAAAGAAATAAAACAACAAGGCTACCTATAGCAGTGCAGGAAATGTAAACCATATCCTATTTGAACCAATTATAACTCTTAATAATTTAAAATTATGGAATTCAGTTTCATTATTGGAACTTATGTCCATGGATTTCTTTATTGCCATTTATGTCAATTTTATATAGTACCACACATTCATATTAAGCATTAGAATAAGTTACAATATGCCAAATAGTAGTGATACAGTCAAAAATGCAGCAATAATTTTTAATAAGAAAGTCGATCAGACTTTTAGATCACATGTTTTGAGGAATGCCCTACTCCGTGTTTGGAAA